ATTATTAAAAATTGAATATTGAATGTATTATACATTAAAAAACAATAAAAAGAGATTTAAGTAAGATTAATATATTTTCACATTTGAATGTAGCGCCAAATGTGACATAAACTGGGGGTCGATACTGATTGGTTCAAATAATAAAGCTGCGCTCGGACACACCATGTATACTTCCACCATGCTCTAGGGTACAGCCTGGTAAGCGCGCCGTTCAATCAGAGTTTGGCCAAAGCGGACCAAAAATGGCGGATAGAAGGAGATAATAGATATTACTTTCTTTCTCGTATTACGCTATCTGTCTCTTTCTATTCTTCGAACTCGTTTTTCGACAATGTACAAAGCTATCCGAAGAATACCGAATGGACCAAGGTAGAGAACCAATCAGAAGTTGGGCCCGCTTTGGCCAAACTCTGATTATAGGATCTCTAGTCATGACGTTTGGGGGCTAGCGGCGGTCTTCTTCTTAATTTAGTTGGCCCAGGTTCCGTTATGATACCGGGTTAACGTGGCCAGTCATACCCAAAAAGATATATATGAGAGTCAACGCACAGTTAAAGTCGGCAACACTTTCAAAAATTGATGATGCAATAACCGCGAGAATGGCATTGCTCGACCGGTCTCCGGACACCTGCGTCTACGGCGTCGTCACGCCGCAATAACGCGCGTCATGAGAGCCCAGGTCGTCAAAAGGTGCAAAATGACGAACAATCGAGACGAGCTCAACCGCGGACACGCATCTGTATGATACAATGCACAGTCAAAGTCGGCAACACTTTCAAAAATATACAATGAAGAACACCCGAACCGAAACGCGTCCGTAACGGTCGGATGGTTCGTCGGAACTCGGCTAGCGGCGGTGTGCGCGGCGCGGCCGGCGGAGCGCTTGTCAACCATAGACTTATAAGATAGACGGAGCGTTCATACGAGAGAAGCTGAAGACTTGATAGAAAGAGAGAGAAATAGTCGTCGCGGAGTAGTTCTCTTCTTTTCTAGTAGTGAATTGATTGGTCGTCGCGGCAGGTCGGGGAGTAGCCGAGAGCAACGAAGATAGATATCCGAGACCGAGGGTGCAAACCCATGCAGCGGAATATTCGGGGAGTAGCCGAGAGCAACGAAGATAGATATCCGAGACCGAGGGTGCAAACCCATGCAGCGAAATAGCGGAACGCGGAACGAGAGCGGAACCAATCACGAGCGTTCTGCAGTTTTCATTACGCGATTTTGAATCCCTTTAGCGGAATAGCTTTTGCGAACTGAAAGTGATACCATTCGGCTAGATTTGTGCCTTCCTGCTCACAAAGATCCATCAATTCGTGAAGCTCATCTTCAAAGATTTTACAGGTCTTAATTCATAGGGCATCGGTTCTTCCTGATCTGCAGAAGATCTCGAATATTGCTTTACAGCAATCGCATGATTTATTCTATACTCGTTTCCTTCCAGCTGTTCATACGACGCGACTTGCCTTTGACAGAAATAAGCGTCGCTCGGCCCTACAAACCAAGATATATAACGTTAAAGTCGACGACTATGTAAGTTAGGAAATCTGTCATTAATAGTGAGTAATAACTAATAATTTATCTCTGTACTCACCACGTTCTTCTTCTTAATTAATTAATGGCTCTCGCCTCCAAATAATGAAATAGGAGGTCGATACGGCCAGGTCAATTTAGAGTGCTCAGTCAAAGCCAGCAACGCTTTTCCAAAAATTTACGATCCGAAACGTGTCCGTTACGGTCGAGTGGTTCTTCAGAACTCACCACGTTGTTATTCCGCCAGTTTTGTTACGTTGAAACGTGACCCCTTAATACCCATGTAGCGTAATAAGCGCAACGCAGACTTTGCGCAACCAATCATAAATCATTATTTCATAAAGGTTACAATTACATTAAAACTAATTTCATAAATTTAACATCTTTAAATATTTTTTCCAATGAGAAATACATTTAATTCTTTATTTAGATATTTGATAATAAAAAATGAATGATAAATACAATATTTAAACATCATTTACGAACTTGCTGATAATTCCGCTTACGCTCATTGCGCTCTATGGAGATCAAGGGATTTGAAACCGCGTAATGAAAACTGCGGAACGCTCGTGATTGGTTCCGCTCTCGTTCTGCGTTCCGCTATTCCGCTGCATGAGTTTGCACCCTTAGGGTGTTTTTTTACCCTTAAGCGGGAAGCACAGACTTTTGCATAACGCATAAACCATATACATAAAGAATTTGATTGGTCCATTGACTCATGCATAAGAAAATGGGCCAATGAAATTCCTTATGCACATGCTTTATGCGTTATGCAAAAGTGTGTGTTGGGGCTCTTAGGCCTATCGCACATGAAATGCATAACCGTGCATAAGCATAACATAAGGCCGCCGGACCAATGAGCATCCAGCATAAAGACGCCATATTGATTAACATAAGATGCTCATTGGTCCAGCGGCCTTATGTTATGCTTATGCACAGTTATGCATTTCATGTGCGATAGGCCTTAGGGTGCAAACCCATGCAGCAGAATAGCGTAACGCGGAACGAGAGCAGAACCAATAACGAGCATTCCGTGTTTCTAGAGAATCTCGTGATTGGTTCTACTCTTGTTCCGAGTTACGCTATTCCACTGCATGGGTTTGCACTCTCAGGCAGGTAAGGTTGGCACGGGTACGTAATGGCGGACCAATCACGGGCCGTTCGCGGTTGGCGCATCTTTGATTATAGGTCTTTATACTTAGAGTCCTAGATATCAGAGAAGCGCAACCGGTTTAAGTCAGTATCACAAAATTACTAAAAACAGTATTAAAAATGGCGTCGTTTGCAGACGAATTATGAAATCCACCAATCGTCTATTAGTCAGCCATTTTTAATACCACTGAATGAATGTCATGATTGGCTGACAGTCAGCTAATCAGGACGCGGAACATCGGTTGCGCTTCTCTGATATCTAGGACTCTATTTATACTGTAGAGGCGCTTCTCTGATATCTAGGACTCTATTATACTGTAGCTGCGTTCGGCAATGCAAATCCGAGGCGTCGGAGTGCTCTTTTTCTATAGTGCACGTGACATATACTATAATATAAGAGCACTCCGACGCCTCAGATTTGCTATTACCGAACGCAGCTTGTGTCGACAATAACGGACAATTGGAACGTAATTTGTGTCGCCGTGTGCACGAAAGTATCTAGGGATATTGTAATTGGAAAGCACCCAATATTTCTCCTATTGTGCGTTAGATGCAATAGTGAATTAAAATGGCTCTCTGATCACGTGATTTAGACAGCCAATCAAACCATACTCTTCAATAACGCATCTCTTTATCTAGGTCTCTACCATATTAGGCGTTTTTTCGTTATTCAACCAAAAAAGCTACCAAAAGCTACCACGATTAAGGCTATCTTTGTTCTCAGGGATCAGGAGACAAAGATAGCCTTAGTCGCGGTTGCTTCTGGTTGCATAATGAAAAAACATCTATTAAAATGTGAGATCGTAATCTTGATTGTGATTGGTCGATTTGCTTAAGACCTTACGATTACTACTAATGGGCCTTCTACAATAAGCTATTCCTTAATGGGCCTTCTACAATAAGCCGTAAGTCACAAATCACAAGTCATAAGCTAGAAATGGACCAATCACAGTCGTCAATTTTTAGTTTCTTACTTTCGATTTATGACTTGTGGCTTATTGTAGAAGGCCCATAAGTTTTAAGTGTTAAATCATAAGAAATTTACCAATCACAATCGAATGTGAGAAGAATAATCGACTGTGAGTGGTCAGTTTCTTTTAACTTAATACTTAAAACTTAGGTAATGGCTTATTGTAGAAGGCCTATAAAATTTTCGTACGTGTGATGGCCTTTAAACCGTAATCACACTACGGGTTGCGCGCTCTGTTGCGATTGAGATTACGGTTGAATGTTGGAAACTAAAGCGGAGAGCACAGACTTTTGCATAATGCCTAGTTCACACTGGATGCGATGGGCGATGAACGACGAGCGATATCCAATAAAAGCTTTGCTTTAGCTCACACGACGATGTAAAGCAGAGTTCTTATTGGTTATCGCTCGTCGCGCATCGCTCATCGCGCCTAGTGTGAACTAGGCATAACGCATAAAGCATGTGCATAAGGAATTTCATTGGTCCATTTTCTTATGCATGAGTCAATGGACCAATCAAATTCTTTATGTATATGGTTTATGCGTTATGCAAAAGTCTGTGCTCCCCGCTTAACCAATCAGAGCAGAGGCTCTGCTCTGATTGGTTAGTTTCCAACATTCAACCGTAATCTCAATCGCAACAGAGCGCGCAACCCGTAGTGTGATTACGGCTTTACGATGCTACGATACGACCAGGAAGTAAGATATAAGGAGACTCCACTCCGTAAAATAAAAGTGGACCCATTTTAGGTTTCGAGTTCAGCTTCCGATTCTGATGAGTGCGAGTAAGAGAAATGATCATTTCTCTTACTCGCACTCATTATGCGCAGCACTACTAAATTCATGAGCGCTGCGAGTGTCGAGAATCGGAAACGGAACTCGAAACCTAAAATGGGTTCATGTCTTGTAGACTGGCGAGACCGAGTGGAGTCTCCTTATATTTTCCTTCATGGATACGATCAATGTAGAATGAGCTTAATGCGTACTAAACATAAAATCGTTCGGTGAGCAAACAGGGGGTCTATTCTTGAAAAGAAACGTATACGAAAAATTAGGAAAATACTATAGTATACGTAACGTATACTATAGTATTTCCCTAGACTTTCGTATACGTTTCTTTTCAAGAATAGAACCCCAGGGGATCGATTCTGTATCTTGAAACAAGGTGAAAATTGCAAAAGTGAGCGAATATACTAGAACATTTCTAATTTCATTGGTCAATACCTAGTAAATTTGCTCACTTTTGTAATTTTCACTTTGTTTCGAGATACAGAATCGATCCCCTGAAGAACGATAATATTCTGTTTGCCATCTATGTAATTCGTAGGCTCGGGATAGATATCGTCTCGTTGACGCGCGCTCTCGTCGTCTCATCGCACTCTAGTTTCTCGTGATTTCATGGCTTCGTAGTTTGTTCGTTCGGTGACGCTCTCCGAGACTACGAGCGAATAAAGGATATCGACGAGCGGGGTGTATCGTGTGCTGAACGACAATTTGACTCGCGCGCGCGAGTGAATAAGAAGTACAACGTACCTACGAGTGAAAGACAGACAGACAGACGAACTAACGAACGAACAAACGGGAGAACGAGAGAGCAAGCAGCGCCATCAAGTAGCGTGATAAAATGAATCGCGAGAAGCGGCTGTGAGGGGTCTACCGATCAACTTCACAATCCAGCCGACCAACCACCAGCCGTGTTACGGTACCACGTCTACGCACGGGTGGAAATTAAATTAGCGACTGCGAGATCGGATCGGAGTATTCCGCGGGCCACGCACCCGTGGATCACCGGCCGGTTGGGGTCTCATCCCCTTCTCTTTCTCTCTTCTCTACCTCCCTCGGAAAGTCGGCTGCGAGGTTGACGACAGCCGACGGCGGCGGTGGCGGCCGCGGCAGCGACGACGATCAGCCAGAAAAAAACAAGTGTTATCGGCCAGAAGGACGACAACGACGACGACTCGAGGTTTCTAGGATAACACCAGGCGCCGAGAGAGGCGATTGCGAGGGAAAAAAAAAACTGCCGGAAAGGAGTAAACTCGTGTGAGTTACCGTGCATATCCGCGTGCGAATGTTACGCACATCATCCGTTCGGGAGCCGATAATGATCAGCCGGAAAGATCGAATGGATCCGATGGATCGTCGCGCGACGTGCGACGTCACTCTCGCACCCTTTGTTTATGCAATCGGATGCGCGCGATTCATGCGCTTTTGTCTCTCTCTCTCTCTGTCTCTCTCTCGCGCGCGCGCGAAAAACTGTCTTCGGTTTTCGCCCCATTTTGCCCCCCACCCTCTAAATTTATCGCATATGCGTTTATATTCTATGACATCCCGGGAGGATTTCGTGTTCAAGCGGTTTCGACGACGACGTCTCGTCTTCGACACTTTGTAATGAATACCGTGGACCTGCGCGACACACACACGTACCTCTTTCCTCGCGCGCTTATATACATATATCGTACGTACGCGAGTGTACGTGTGCGTACGTGCTCCTCTGTGTGGCAAAGCTGTCAACGCTGTCAACTCGTAGCCGATCGCCGTACGTCCGTTTCCCCGTCAACGAGTTATTCGCGAAAGAAAGATTATCGATCCCCCGCCTCTTCAACACATGTCAGGATATCCGGTTTGTAAATCGCGATACGAAATGATCGTTCGACAACCAGCATTGTGTTTTGTATAGAAAGGGCGGGAGAGAAAGAGAAAGAGAGAGAAATTCTCTCGATGGTAGGCGAGAGAGATGCTGAGGTGGCTCGAGACGATTGTCGCATTGGCGCGTCTGTTCTTTGTGGTTTAATATTAAATTAAAAAATTATGTTTATTAATAACAATTTGTGCACGAACGTGTACAAGCGTTCGTCAAAGTTCTTGCATGACATAAAATACAATTCATTGCATCGTTAATCGTTAAATTAAATTTTACTTTAGAAATCACATATACTTATATAAAAAAAAAAAGACAGGTAGACAAGAAAATACAGAGTAACTCTTTCATTTTATTTATGTGATGTGAATTTGTAAACTTTAGAAGAGAGTTGTAAAATTAAGAAATTTTTTTAAGTAAAGTTTTAAGAACGAAATATAATGTTAATTTAAAATTTTAGAATTTTAATTTGATGTATTTTACATGTAAGAATGATCTTTATTAATCTTCTAAATTTCTACTCCTTATAGATCTTTGCATAAACAATGGCAGCGTTACCACGGAGGATTATTAAAGAAACTCAAAGATTAATGCAAGAACCAGTTCCTGGTATTAGTGCAGTGCCAGATGATACAAATGCTAGATATTTTCACGTAATAGTAACGGGACCTGAAGATTCGCCATTCGAAGGTGGATTATTTAAACTCGAATTGTTCCTACCAGAAGATTACCCAATGTCTGCACCGAAAGTTAGGTTTATCACAAAAATATATCATCCAAATATAGACAGGTAAAGATGACAAATGTCATATGTCTATCTTGGTTATAAAAAACGTGCAACTTTTGCTTTTATCAAATTATTTCTAATATTTCTTGTGTTTCACGTCGAAAAAAGATAAATTGAAAAAAATTATACAAAATATCTTTTGACAGACAGATTGTCTTAACGAGAAATTATCATTAAAATCATTCGTGTATATTTATATTTAATCAAATGAGCAGTTGGAATAACAAAGAAAAATAAAAACTAATAATCTACTGTTTTAGTAAATTATAACGCTTTAATTATCTTGATTTATCTATAGATTGGGCAGGATTTGTCTGGATATCCTTAAGGACAAATGGAGTCCTGCGCTTCAAATTAGAACAGTTTTGCTGTCCATACAAGCGCTTTTGAGCGCACCGAATCCCGATGATCCTTTGGCAAATGATGTAGCTGAACTTTGGAAAGTTAATGAGAGCGAAGCGATACGTAATGCCAAAGAATGGACTCGAAGATATGCTATGGACAACTGATCTCAGCCTTGTCAGATCGCCCACGACAAAGCAAAGCGACGTTACTCCTATCTTTCCCAGACTTTTCGTCACTTTATCTGCACCAACTGCGTATCCGGCACCTGTGTCCACAATTTTGCTATAAAAATAATAAAAGTTTTGTAAGAGTAAAACAGAATGGATATTTTCTATATCGTGGGGGAAATGCAAAGCATTGTTAGATTTATTCAATCGCTCATTGAGAAAACTTCGTAAATATCTTCCTACATTAATGTTGCGTATCTGCAAGAGAAAGCCTCTCTCTCTCTGTGTGTATGAGAAGACACGGTGAGATTTGTTACATAAGTTTGAAATTATGTTAAGGAAAAGTATGCGACATATAATTCTTTCAATACATTGCTATAAAACTAGTGCAATTTGCAAAACTTTTTTTTCTTCCTAATGTATTATTAAAAAATGAAATTGAAAGATCTATGTTTTGACATACAAATTTTTTCCTTTGAAACAAGTTTATTATGTATGCTAACTGGTTGTCTCTGTCTAATACACCATAGATTTAAGTATCTTTGCATACGTAGAATAGAGAATGATACGATCAATCAATAATAGCTATTATTTATCTCACATGTTTTATAGATAATATATTAAAGAAGATCCGAAAACATTTTTAATCTGTGTAAGCGTTTTTCAACATCTACAGTTATTTTATTGCGAGATATAGATTATCGCAAAGGAGCTTTTTAATTTTCAATATACAATAAGAAGAGACATATTCGTGGATATTGGATAAATTTGATTTATGCTCAGAAAAGTTGAACTGTAAGTGAATAGAAATCTTCCATTATGTTAGTAATAATTGCCAATTAATTGCTTATAATGTGTAAATATAAGTAAGAAGAATAGAACAATTCTTTATTGTATCTCACAATGAACAAATTCTATTCATTAAGGTATCCATTACTATACGATAAATTTTAACACAGTGAAAATTGATCTGATTGAAATATATAGAAAAAAAAGATTGTTTTATGACGACTGCTTATTTGAAGGAGACACTATGTAAAATATAGTTATATATACATATATACATAGATATTTTTCATTTGATAAGTAAAATTTATGGTGGTAACAAGAATTGAACATACGCAAAAAATAATTAAATTTGCATATATTGCACATTATGTAATTAAATGAATAGAGAAATAGTAGAAACAAAATATCTCTGTAACAAAATGGTGGCAAAGGATTATAGTATATATATTAATAGAAATATTTAACATAATTATAATGCATTGGCTCAATAAATTAATATTAATATTGATATAATCGGCTTAATAAAAATGTCAGTGGTTTATACCTAACATACGTTGCAGTTAACATAATTGTATCTAATGTGAGAAAAAGTACAACCAGTTAGTATATGAACATGCATAAAATGGGGACATTGCATTAATGATACTTTTTTAAAAATAATTATTACAGCAGAGAGATTTTGTATTCTAAGGACACGGGAATAGGTTAAAACAATTGTAGATAATCTGCAATAATAAAAACAATTATTATTAAGTTTGGGATATATAGAATAATTATTCTATTGTGTATCATGTTGTGCCAGTGGTACGGTAATTTTTTCCAAAAGCTATCGTGGAATAATTAACGTACATAAATTAATGATTAAGAATAAAAAAAAAAATTAAATACCGCTGTATGTACATCTGAGCAATTAATCACGTATTTCATGTATGTTAATGCTCTCTTCTTTTATGTTTGTTTAATTATTGCTTTACTAAAATATATTAACACACGATAAAATTTACAAAATAAAATTTCATTTTAATCAAACTTCTATATTGCTGATTAGTAATAGAACATATATAATACAACGATAAAGTACTAACAGAAGAAAAAGGATTAAAAAACTGACTTCTTTTTTATAAACATATATATATATAGACTTAAATAATGTCATTTTATATTCCTATTACAACAAAGTGTATTAATGTCTTTGTCAACATTAACTCGGTGCTAAAATGGATATAAAGAATCTCGTTAGGACATTTTAGAAGGAAAGGAGTGGCTTATCGGTGCTTCTACTTTTCACGATATTAATAGTTTAGATAATTTTAGACAGCTTTTATGAACGCTTCATAATGTATATACCTCATTGCTTCACATGTCATGTGGAATATTTTGAAGAAATAAAGCCTTTAAGAGAGAAAAGAAAAATCGAGAAAAAGCTATATCGTTTTCACCGATGCGTCGGTTACTTGCTTCAAAGTAACAGACAACTGCGTCTGAATTTGAATTCAAAATTACATTTTATTGTATCTTAATATGGACTAGCATATACCATATACACATTCAATAGCTCACTTATAGTTTATAACTTATGATACACTCACAAACATTGATAAAGACAGTCATGATATCTCGTAGCATGTTTCATGACTGGTGAAGCTACAGCGCAAGCTCTATATATGTGTGTAAGATATAATTATTTTTATTTATCATGAATGGCTGAGTTCTTTCTCTCAATTATTTCATAACGATTCTGACTGCAATTTTGAAATTTTTTTTCTACCATTCATACTGACTTTGCACGATCATCATTCTTTATTTTGTAAGGCTCGATGATGCAAAACATACTTTGTCATCAGCGAAATATTCCATAAATTTGACATTCGCTAATGTTCTCGTAAAAAAGAACGAGTGTTGACGCGCAAATGTCTTGCAATGATTGGAAATAATTACATGACGAAATCTTATTTCAACAAACTGTATGCTTATTTAAATTTATAACAGAACAAGTTTACTAGAGCTCCTCTCTTCGCATTTGTTTTTATATGTATAACATAATTTATTAACAATCGTAAAAAATCTAAAAAAAAATTCTGTAGAAAACGAATTTAGAATGAAGAAAATCCATAGGATATCAACACATAATATCAAATGAGCTTATATTATTAATTTATATATTCGTAAATATTTTAATAAGCTATACTTTAATAACTTATATACCTTTAAGTTATTAAGATAAAAGAATTTTTTTTTAATATAAAATTTGAGTCAACGAACGAAGATTTTATAATAATGACGCAATTTAATAATATTTAATTCATCTCTAACGAACATACAAGTAATGACCACGCAAGGCCAGATTGACAGTATAAGAGTTTCAGATGTCATTATTAAAATGTGGCTAGACACATTCAGTCAGGGTGGCTTGCGATGGCTGAGTATTAATTTATTATGTATATATATATATTTTTTTTCTTTATTTATATTTATATTTATATATATATATTCATCTTATTCTTAGCATAATGACTAGATAAATTTCAGCCACCCAATATATAACACATCTTGTTTGATCCCATGTATTATATTCATACCGCTCTGTGTTGCTCATCGAATATATAGTTAAAATTTCTATGCCAAAATTCATTGCTCTAACATATATTACGTAGTCACGATTTATTTTTGACTCTGGTGATTCCAGCAAAAGAATAATACTTTTTGCATATTTGTTTAGATATTTGTCCATAATGAATGAAAATCTCCATACTGATATATCGGTTCCCCATGATATGCAATATCGTAATATACTTTGCTACACTTTTCCCAATGAATGAATAATTTTACTATATATTTATATATATATTTATATATATTATATATATTTCTCTCTCGTGACATTTCTCACGTAACTATCCTCACGAGACTTTCTGTGCGCAACGATTTATGGCACCATGCCTTACTTTCGTTTTTACATCATTAATTATCATAAACAACGAAAAAATTGTATATACATATTCTGTATCCACGCGCCTCACAGAGAATTGTCCCATAGGAAATATCACGTTTATGGCAAATAAGAGATCTTTGAAAATGTCTGTAATCGAAGGATTGATTTAAATTCAGATATGAGAGAAGAATTTATGTCCGTTATGTACAAAGCCAAAAGATGCCCATAATACATGTTCAAATTCGTAAAATTAAATTTTATTTGTTAAAATTATCGTTCTTTGTTATTTAAACAAGTTTACGTATGATTTTTCACAATACGTATGATACTTATGTGTGAACATAAATTCTATGACTTATACGGGCATTTTAGAAAAGAAAAATTCATGTTTTTTTTTAAGAGCGTATTCATTGAGATATTTATAATTAATATGTCTCGCAATTTTGATCTTTCTGTTAGAAACAATTTTCGATTTGAATGTCGAGCATGATCCAATTTGTTTCATCTCTGAAAAGAGAATATTTTTCATGTTTATTAGATATCTTTTGCAAATTAATTTAAATGTTCTATTTGATCCTATGAACGCTTTCTCTTTAAATGCCCTATATCTGAATGATGCCAGAAGTAAAGACAATATAAGCTTAACTTTCTGCAAATTAGGATACGTTATTCCTTAAATAATTGCACATTCTCTGACAAAATCTGAATAATTTTCAGTTCGTCGCAAATTATGTGCTGTCTCGTCGTTACGCTTCACTAATTAATGTACTTTGGCATTGAAATTTTATCAGACATCAGGAATCTCAAAGTTTATCATCGCACACTTCTTGATAATTGAAGCAGAATAGCTCAAAGGTGAGAAATCTTCAGCAAAAATAGATAAAACTTAGATTATGGCATATAGTATTTATATAGAAGAGACATTTTCTTCCCTTTTTTAGCAGTATGACAGTAAAGTCACATTTCTTTGGAATCGTTCATTTTTATCTTATTGGGTTATATATAGAAGTGAGTCAGTCTGTTATATTTTAGAAGAAACTTTCCATTGACAATAAGAGTTACAAGAGTCGGGAAAAGCTAGATTTCTCATTTTGTATGCCTATATGCAGTGAAGCCACATTAAGTTGAGTACAATTTACATATTTTACATGTAAGTATTATATACATGATGAGTGAAGACTTACTGCAAGCTGATACGTATAAGGTGCCGCCTAAAAGTCTTTATGATTCATTTTCAAGATTACCTTTATGAACTAAACTTGTACGGACGCGGATAAATGAATTAAAAAGTGAACTTTATTCTATAAAATTAGATCGATAAAGTAGATAGGAATATATCGAAAGATTTTTACGTGTTTTTTTTTTACCACTCTTTTATAGAAATGTGCAAAATAAAATGAGAACATTTGAAAATATTATTTTCTAAATTGAGATTACTTTGGAATGGTGTAAGAAAATTTCGAAACACTCGAAGATACTTAGTCGATAAGTATTTAAAAAATCGATATAATACTTGAACAACTCGTACTACGAATTTTAAGTTAAAGATTTATAATTAAAGTTAAGAATTCGATGAAGAGGGATGATATTGAATCTCTTAAAATGAATAGAATTTATAAAATATCAAGAGAGATCTAGAGAATGTAAAAGTCTTGGAAAATTTAAAGGCCTCTATTCTAAAAGTGCCTAAATCGAGTGCGATCTTATGTCTATAAAATCTAGACTCTTAAATACACAGCCATTTCTCAACATTTATCAACATGTGATCGAAGAAGCGAACGATTAATGTAACATACTGGGAACAAGATGACTTTTACAAGCTTACAGTTGACTATCATCCACAAGAAATAAGAATTAAACCTCATACGCACATCTCATATATATATATATATATACACACGCGCGCACGGATATTTAAAAAATACGGATATTACAATAATTTTATATATTAGGACATTGTACACTTTTGGATATCGTAATGTTTGAAGCAAATAAAACTTAAAATTGTTTTTAATTATCTATTTTCCTGCGAATGATAATTGTCGCAATATTCGAAGCAAATAAAACAGGAAAACTTTCTTTAATTTCCTATTTTCTTACGAGCGATAATTGGCAAGAAAATAGGCAATAAAAAGTTTTGAGTTTTATTCGCTCCAAATATTGCGATATCCGTGAGTGCACAATTTCCTAATAAATATTTAAAGTTTATCCGCAATTTAGATAGTCATTTGTGAAGTATAATGTGAAGGATTTTTAAACGTCCTTCTAAAAAATAATATTGCGCGGTGAACGTGTTGCATTACGATTTTATCTTTGATACAGATGAGTATTATACCACAGAATATAACATTGATAAAGCGATATGTAGGCATACATGATGTTGAATCAACATTTTTATCCAATGACATTTTCGTGTATTCGATGATACGCAATTTATTTTATCTCTTGCCGAAAATTAGCTAAATGTATTGCAAAACGTATTATAATTTACTCGTTTAAAAAATTCCTCGTACAGAATACGTTATTGTGCTCTTCTATATAATTACTATGGCGTTATTTATCACGAGATTTACGCATCCGAAGTTACTACGGTAGATAATAATTTTAGTACAAATTAATATACTCGGGCATCGCGCCACAAGTATTCGCCGGCCTTAAAGATAAAAAAGATTAAATAAACGCTTTAGCTTAAAGTGTCTCCACAAGAGGTAGAGGGAGATCCTTTTTATAAATATTACTACGTCATTAAACTACGTAATATACAGTTCCAGCCCTGCTCCAGCTGTTGGTAAAGAGCTTTGTGCTATTTATAATCATGTGCAATTGCCTCATTTGCATCACCTATCATCTTCCTTGGCGCGAATAATGCGATTCTCTGTAACATTCACTTGTTGTGTACTGAAAATCAATATTTTTTCCCCCTATCATTTCGTTAGATTCGTAACAAATCAAATGCCTGATCGCCTAATTGCGGCAATTTCGCCATAATTTTTATACACCGCTTAGACGATAAATCAACAGCATTGACGTAATGCACTGACCGTTATTGAAACAATAGTTCGCAAGATTTCAGGAAACACATACGTTATAGAGAATCTCATTGATAAGTACTATACGTATATCTCTTACAATAATAATCGTTAATCATATAAATTATGCTTGAGTAGATATTTAGTAACGTTTCTGCGACGTACCTATGTAAGTCTCGTTTACTAAGCAGGAGCTGGTGAATGTATCGAATCGTCCCATAAGAATCGAAAACACAAAGCGATTTGCATAGAATAACCTGTACAGTAAAGGTAGCGGATAGTATGGTAGTGGATGGTGGATGTATTGTCTGTTCACTACGCATCAGCCAGGCAACTGAACGCTTTTTATATATACACCGGAGACTCCTGGCCGGTCAACAGCCTAAACATCGATGTGGGCATCGTTTTCATCAAAATCTAGAAAAAAATTCCTTTTTTTTATCCTTATACATTTAATCATACTTCCTAATATTGCTCTTTCAAATAAAGAGCACACATCAAAAGCCAGATTTTAGTTTTACGCGTTTACGTACCTCTCCCACTGACGTAGCCAAAAGATTAACAATCTTCTCGTGCGGTACAGCAACAACACTCTGATTATTAATTTCAATTATCCTATGACCCACTCGTACTCCGCCCCGTTCGGCGATACCACCTCTCAATAGACTACATATCACTCCGTTCTGTACACTAAATCCTAACTGATATTTTGTGTCGGGTCTCTTGATTTTCACTTCGACTACAGGTGCACACGGCACGACAGTTAGTTTGACGACCGTTTGATTCTTTGAGTTTTTTATGTAAGTCTGACACGTGGACAAAGGCAAGCCGACTAACGATACGCCGTTAATCGCTATTATCTGATCGCCAATGTTAAGTTGACCGCAACGTGCGGCGGCACCGGCCGGTGCCAGATTTGCTATGACTACGGTTGGCAGCATCGAGCCCCATCCGGACTCAACGATCACAACACCGAGGATCTCTCCCTTTGCTTTCGGTACCACTACCTGTAAAGCAGAGAAATCTTTATTCTAATACAATTGCGAAAATTTTCTTAAATTTTGGCCGCAATAATTGACATTTTACATCTTTTGGAAGTTAGGTATCTATTAATATTTCCAAAAAGTTCGCAGCAAATCGACAAGAAAATATCTTTCTCGTACAGTTAGACCGTATTATTTTTGGATTAACAAATGGAAAGGGTAATATAGTCGTATTCCGAAGATTACCTCTTTCTGCATCTCCTTCTTTGCGAACATCTGTAGCTCGTCGCCAAATATCTCCTGGGAATTAAGCACCTCTTGGTAATCCATTTCCTTAACAAAGCTATGATCCTCTATCCCGTTTGCTTTTAGGAACTCCATGTAAGCTACTTGGAATGCTTGTCCAATACTTTGTGCTATAAATTGAGCCTCCTCACTTTCGAAAACGTGACATATCATCTTTGGAGTTCGATTGATTTTTGGTACTTCTTCCATTTCATGCGGCACAAAACGTCGCCGTGCCATTAGCACCACCAGATCACCGATATCCGCTATGTACGAAATCGTACGTAACGCATGATCCATCATGATCTCCTTCAGATCGGTGTTAAGAACCATGATCTTCTCCGTTGAGATAAAGAGATCTACCTCCGTGCTTGGCTGAGTGTCACCGTCCGGTGCCTGAATAAATACAATACACACACATCCTTTTTAGAATACTGCATTACTACGAATTTCTATGCACACACACATATATATTTCACACATAGAATATACGTACCAGCGCCTATCACAAGGAAGCAGCATGTATGACAAAGTAGAGATAAACAAGTAATTAATTATAAATATATATATAATATATATGTATAATATTAGTGTTTTAAACATATACAACGCTTAACTACTAGTAAAATAATTAAATAGTGCAAGATAATATTATAAACCGTATAAAGTTGAGCATAATATCATTAACGGCGCTATCACAAACCTGAGAGTTTGAGAGTTAAAAGTCGCCTAACTTTGACGCAATATTTAACTTGCAAGAGACTCGTCGTTATAATTTATGAAGAATGTGCATTGTACGTAGGTAATACGAGTTTTGTAACTGAAAAGTGCATTGAGGGAAATTGCTGTGGGTTTTGTGATTGAGTAAAATCAAATTCATAAAAAGGTTCAAGTTGTAAGATGAAATGGCCGTAAGAAGATTTGACCCTTATCGGTATTATATGTATAAATCAATAGAGAGATGAAACGGTCGAACGATTGCTCTTGTAAGAGTCAAAGGGCAGTCGATCGGATTTAATAGCGAAGAGGGTTGACTGGGATGAAGGGCAATGAGGGCGGACCTTTATTTTTGTCACAGCCTCCTCCACCATGTGGTTCTTAAGGCGCTTACGCCGTTTACGTCCCCCTTCCTCTTCCACCTCCACCGACCCAAGAAACTGTAGTCTGAAAACGGTTGTAGGCCCCAAGCAGCCACTGATCGGGGCCAGTTTCGGCTGGGCCCCAAGCGCTTGTGACTCGGACTGGCCCCCACCAGAAGCGCTTCCTATAAGTTCTTCGCTCGAGTCGCACTCGTCCTCCTCTAGGCTTCCTTGCGAGGCAATGCTGCAGCGACCATACCCATGCTGCCCCCCATAGTTTAAGAGTGTTGCCTGCATCGGCACTGGCCCATCATCCTTCCGTTATGTACGCGCCAAACAAACAAACAAACAAAGGCTCTGCTAGTCACATTGCCACGCACCACCGACAGAACGAGAGGCAAAAGAGCCAATGTTCATGAGTTCTTGAGTTGCTATATCAATGACTTTACTTTTCTCTTATGCACAGTGGTCATGCTTGTGTCCTCTATCGTACGCCGGATCGAGTCATTCACACATATAAATGCATTAGTCCGTTTAGTATACACTTCTGCATACGATGCGACCTTTATTATGCAATTTTGCTTTCGGACAAGCTCATGGTGTCTGGAAGCTGTGCAACGTGCAAGCGTTACGTTACAAAATGATAAAATCAATGGACAAACACACACGTGGATTCGCTGCAATTGTAATTCAAGAACGTATTAATAGCGATGCTGCGCCTCTAGGTGTCTAGCAACTCAGAACTCGAAGCATGATAAGGCTTTCTTAAGAGCATTCGATGAGCATTCGAGTCTTTTCAATCAATCAATTTGTCTTATTTTGTCATCTTGAAAATGAACAATCAAAAAAATACAAGCAATTGATCACATATATAGAATTATTATTTTCCGTAACAATAATTAATTTCGATTCAAAGTATCTTTTCAAGCAGATATAAAGATGCAAGCATGAGTAAAGTTCTTTTGACGTTATTTAAAAATACGAAGTAAGCACTGCTTTATTATAACAAGCTACATCGATATACATATAATGTAATTTAACTAGATATTATAATTGCCAAACAATTTTAGCAGGCTAAGAACGTTTTTAATCCTTAGTGTTCTGTCATTATTTACACTGCTTGTATCAGATTATAGCAGCCTTGAAATTAAACAAATTATCATGCATACGCTACTCAAAGAATTAAATATTAATTAATATTGTATTATATAATTCCTGTTCTTAATATATCATTTTTTTTAAATAAACTAAGAATATTTTTATAACGGATTTTCACAATGGATATTCCGTGAAAATATAATTCTATTTTGATTCCCGAATAGTATACAACTAAAATATTCTTGCAGCCACAAAAAAAGAACTGCAATCCTACTTGACTATATAAGATCTCATTTCATGCGACAATAATATATTATAAAAAAATATATTTACCAAACTATATTCTAAAAAAAACCAGATTGGATGAACGAATGTACATAAATGACTAATTACGCTCAATCTTGTAGGATACTGTCAGAATATCGTAGTATCACCGATTGATTCGATAAAATCAGTTATCAGATCTTTTTAAGGTTTAAAGTTATACAGGATAAATATATTTTATAAAATTTCTTATAATTTCCCAGAAATTCGTTTCAAACAGAGCCGTCTGTTACATTGCACCTATTTGTTTCTTGCGTTCTCAATTTTCTTCCTTTTTACTGATTAATTTTACAGTAATTTGCTAGATATTTTTGCGAAACATAATCGAGAACATAAAGTTACTAAGTAGATCAATATCTCCCGCGAATATATGGATTTTTTGTGCGAAAAGTTGATCAAGAATCTACAGGAAAGCGGACATAGCAAGCGGACAACAGATATATTAACTAAATATTCGCAAAGAAAAAAAAACAAAGACTGACAGACATACAGAAATCACATCAAAGTTACACTGAGAAGATGACAGTGTTCGGTGGTCAGGTGGTGGTGGTGTTGGTGATGTGAGGAAGGGGGGCGCTACACTGAAACATTCAGGCCTCTTTGCACAACGGCCAGTTCACAGTTATATTTAGATTAATTATTAGATAGGTAGACAGAATCAGCATTTAGATATCTCTCAGGAGGGAGAGTCATCTCAGGCGACAACAAAAAACCACTAATTAAAATTATTAATCAATTATTACAAGATAACAGAGACGAGGTCTATCTTATCTAAATGCTGATATTTGATTACTCATGAGCAGAACCTAAGAGTAGGAGGAAAGAATTTACTGTTTTATCAGCTTAATATTGACAGTTTCCTCGAAAGATTGACGAGTATCGTAAACTATAAAAACTAATTAAAAAAGGAACATCGTAGCTTACTATTAATATATCAATAAACATACGGACTATGTAAACAGAAATATGGTAGGTATCTATACTATTTACTAAAGAGAGTATTTTGGTGAACTATCTATGGTCCTTTGGCAACATATTTATCATATATGTATAGAATTGAAGTACAAACGAGTCTTAAGACACAATTTGGACAGTACTCTTTCCTACAGAAAACTCTCAGGTTTAACTTATTTACTTAAGATTTCAGCATTTTAACAATTTGAGGTAAATTAATGGTTTCAAAATAATGTAACACTGAAATATTTTATACTTGGTAAAGAGGCATCTGAAACGCGCAAATCCCTTGCAAATATTATATAAATGTTATTTGCAATATTTTACACAGATTATATTTCATGATTGCATCAAGAAAAAATTGCAATTTTCAAAATCCTCAAAAAGTTAAACATTTTAACAATGAAATATACATTATTGCAGATGAAAATATTGCACTGTTGTTCACTACAATTTAAGTAGCAAATTAAAATAGTATAAAGCATTCAGAGCATGCTGCTAATTTCGTTATTATTATTCATAGTTTAATTCTAATAGTCCCTGAAACGATTTTATACTCTCTAGTACATTTTCTAATGTTTTCGATTTTCGTTTTAACAGTTATTGAAAAATCAACAATTGAGTCATTTAGTCGACGAGTAAAACACTAATCGTATTTGTTTTGATCTATATATATATATATATATATATATTGGTATATATATGTGTTTTCCAAACTTAGTTCTACTGATCTAAATAGAACACAACATATCATGTGGATGCATTATCTATCTGTCTATCAAATAAATCGCGATATGCTCATTTAATTGGTAGTTACTGCTTTTAAGAACAAACATTCTAAAAAAATAATACATGTGGCTTTTAAATATCGCATTTAATAATTTATGTACTCCATATTTGATTATATTAATTTTAACGCTTTGCAAAAATCTTTATAAAAAATATATATATATAAAAGTCCTCATATACACGTTCCATTTATACATGAGATATATGTATATGTATATATGTGTGTGTGTGTGTGTATATATATATACACATACACATATATATACATATATAGAAATTGTGCTTTTATATACACATAGTTGTATATAATCGTATATACACATTTTTCGTAATTGACGTATGTATAATACTAGTTTAAGAGGAATACATCTCAATTCTGAGATAAAAGTAAAAAGAAATGCGTTTTCATATACATATGTACCTTTATTCTGGAAACGGCTTCCTCTGCTTGACACATGCGAGTCGACTTCGTCGGTTGACCTTCGCATACTAATTGCGTGGATCCTAAGTACCTCGCGCGGAACAGGACACCTTCGATCAACACTGATGGATCATCCAACAAGTCTGAAAGAGGCACAGACACGTACCATTTAGGATTTTTTAACTCACGTGTATCGTGAAATAGTGTGCCAAAGGCAGCTAAATGCTTGGAAGAACATAGAGGCAGTCTAATAGACGACATAATTATATAGTATCCAATAATGCTTCTTGTTTGAATCTTCAGTTAATGCTCTCATATTGTGTAAAAATTTAATTTTATGATTCAATATAAAACTTTTATAATCTTCTCGTGACTGTCAGCTACCTTTTATTATTGTTATTAACATAGAAATTCTATTATTAATATAGAAATTATATCGTATTTAATTTACGATACGATACGCATAACAAACGATTTACACGTTTAAAATGCACAATCACATCACATTGAAACATTATGACACTTATGAAACTCTTCAATACACCGCTTATCAATATAATTGGTGACCTTATCGAGGAATACAAATAGAGAAATGTAAATATCAGACATCAAATCTCTGAACGTAATCTACAGATGACACATAATAAATTTAAAGATACATCTTGATAAAACATATCACGCGTATTAAAGCACTGTTAGACATGAACAAGATAAAAACATTGGATTATCAAGAAATACTGTAAAAGCGACGAGTAATTTTGTATTAAATGATATTAATTTTGAATTATGACTATTTGTAATAATTGCGATAATATAATAATGTGTACAAAGGGACTCCAAATATCATGAAATTTTATGAGTGTGTGTTGTGTACATAGTTACAATAAAATTCTGTTTATCCAATTATATTGAAGGACTAGATAATTTCTATAACCGGACGGTTTGAGTAACCGAGGCTCACTAACTCTTCTCTCTATCAGTACTTATTAGTTGTTCCGATAATACGAATAATGTTCTGAAAAACACTGACGCCATAATGTGGATAAGGAGAAACAACTATGAGTTCGTATAAGTATATAGAACGAGTGGTCTATTTGTACAAACTTGAAATAGACAATGTAGTTAAATGGAATTCTAGTGTGTGTGTGTGTACACGCACATATGTGTAAATATATATATATATATATATATATACATACATAATATGTGCACGTATAAAGAGTACCTACCATCAAATAATGATTAGAAGCAGATGTTGAATTTATATATCCAAGCAAGCAATAGAAAGAGAAATATTATATTAGCATTATAATATTAATAAATAAAATGGTAAAGGAATATAAAAAAACAATTGTTTTGACAAAAATGCAATCGTACCTTCTTTGTTCCTGCTCTTTTTCTTTCCCTCCTTATCCTGCAAAATAGAACAAACAATGCATTTTGCACAATAGCACAGATAAAACTTTGACGCTCGTAATTAAATCTTGTAAATATGATATATGTAATCTCACTTAAGCGCTGTAGGGTGTGCTAACCATGCAGCAACTGCCATATAAGAAAGCTAATAAACATTAACATATATCCCTATTTACGTCTAAAAACAATAGTAACAATTATAGTAGTAATTTTTAAAATAACTACAGTAATAGTAGATAGGTATATTAAATGCTACCGCAATTTTATAATTCCTTCCTTTTGCGCGCGCGAAGCAACAATTATATATTTATAAAGCACAGAAAGAAAAGAGTTATTCTTAATTATATATTAATATTCAGGATATGAATTTAGAGCTTAAACCAGAAAAAAATGTCATATAATATATACACATGTATATAAATAAAGAGGTTACGTTCATATCACTTTTTTTTTGTTACAGTCTCTAGATTCTTTTCATGAAGTATATATAATTAAAAATCATCCTACACATAAAGCATTTCATTATCATTGCATTATTTGTGGATACGGAATAATCTAATATATATATGTATATATGCGATATTTTTATAAATATATTAACGTTAATAATATTTCTGTTAAATTAAAATAAGCATAATAAGCAAAAGCTATAAAGGAAAATTCTAAAGCAATAAGATAAAAAAAAGTACCTTTTCTTTTTAGAAAAATCAGCTTAAACATTTTCATCTCATTATTTCTTAATTATATAGTAAAAATTGTTTTATTTTTTTTTTAGTAATATCTTGAAATTCATGTTTATAAAACTTATACAATAACTATTATAAATAATGTGTATTACAATAATTATCAAATATCTATATGTTATTATTAGAAAATGCATTTAAATTAACAGATAACATAAATTATATATTTAAGCTGATTAGGACATATTTTGTTCAGCAACAGAAGAATAGTACTGTCATGCACCAATGTGTGCTATTTTATTTCGCAAGCTCACTAAAAATATAGAAATCTATCGTCACTAATAATAAAACAAATTCCGTGGTAGCATTTGAAAGGGCACCTTTTTCACCTTGTTGTTGGATTCCTTGAGGCTCTGAGGGGATGAGGGGGAGTTTTTGACTGGGGTCTTCTGCGGACTCGATGTGGGTTGCGCGGGAGTGGCTACTTCGCACTCGTTAGAAGACGACGATTGTATAACAGACACTACGAGAGGAGGGGAGATCGAGGCAGACGTCGAGGGTATGGGTTCGGAAGGCGCTAGCGTTTCTATCGGGGCGACACTCAAAGATTTAGGAGGGGTTTGTTTTGGAGTAGCGACTTTCGCATTCATTGATGGTAACATAGTCCTAGTCTTAGGCTTCCTCCACCCCTGCATAACACCAAGACGATATTAGTAGAACACCGATACCATCGAATCGCACAAAATACGGAGAAAATGTAGATTATTCGTATCCTTTTTTTTTTTCTTGAATTTAAACGCATTAGCATCGTCTCAATATTACCTAGTAGAAAGTTGTAAATATAAAGTATGTATGATATATCAATAACACAAGTGCTTATTTAATTTAGCCTAATTATCCTTGTTTAGGAAATAGACCGCTAAAGAACGATTAATAAAAATAATACAACAGGACGGACTGTTAAGCATCGAGTGTATGCTCACCTTATCGTCGTAAAATCCTTGATCGTCCGTTCTTTGTTGCCCGAGCAATCGATCTGTTTCAAGATCGGTATCCGCTTCCTCTTCATCTGGACACTCCTCAATTTCTACATCAGCTTCTACGTCACCTATACGACGCGCATCAGATTCTTCGCTATTGCTTTCCATACAGACTCTCCGCCTGCCATCCATTATACTGCATCTTAGTTAGATGCGTTTATACGCAACACAGAGGTATCCCAAAGGGTATCCCAAACGTATATTCGATGTCGTAAAAGGAGAACGTGTTCATAGTGGTAAGTAAAGAAAGTACCAAGGCAAAATAATGGACAAATTTTAACAATTGGAATACCCTTATCCACATAAAACGAAACGTAAAATACCTTGGTATCCATATCGGACTAACGCTCGGTTCTGGTGGTTCTTCCGATGGTGATTTCACAGGTAGAGTTTTAGTCCTTTGTAGGGCCATTCTAATATCTTTGATGGCCGCTTCCACCTCTCCACAATTTACTTCTAAGGATACACTTTGTCGTCCTTGAGGTGCCGGCGGCGGCGGCGTGCCCAGTGGGTCCAATCCATCGAGTTGCAGCTCGTTCGTGTCGTACGAATTTTCCTTCTTTGCGATAAATAGATCGGGAGATGTAGTCTTCAACGTGTGTAAAATATCCTTTGTTACATTTAGACTAATGTCCTTCCCAGAGTCATTCTCATTCGTACCTAACATGTCGTTACGAGTTCTCTGTATGATCTCTTTCTCTATCTCGTTTATTTGCCGTTTCATCAGCATCACAGTAGGATTATTGTTGTCAGTATCGCTCGCGTGTCCACTAGACAGGCCGTCTTCTAATACCGGCATGCTAGTGTATATTCTCAGGGAATCCGAATTATTCCCCAAATCACCGACCGATCCGAGAAGGCCACTTGCTGGCATCAATTCATTATCCATCATCATGAGGGATACCTCGCTGTCTAAGTCGCCGCAATTACTGTCACAGTCGGTTGTCTCGGGGCTTAGTGTAAAATTACGCGAGTGTCCCACTTGCAAGCCAACCTCAGTCTCTCCAAGATCTTCACTGCTGCCAGTACCTACTGAGAGGTCCAAGAAGTTGTTTTCATGTTCACCTGTCTAGAGAGCATAAAAAAAGCCAAATGTAAATATTTACTTCATAATACCGTAATTACTGTTGCAAACGTGGAAAAGTTTTTCAAGCAGCTACACGCGGTGTGAGTTTAAAAACTGTGTATCTATAAATACAGATTTATATTTAGAATCTATGTGACTACTAGGAGAAATATAATTTCCAAACATTAATAATTAATCCTTTAGAATTGTTAAAAATATAATATTTCTGTTGCAAAATAAGCTGGTTTATTGCATTTAACTTTATAATACATAAATAAACATTAAATTTTTTATGAAAACTTAATTAATATAGAGGGAAAAAAATTAATGCTCTTCACAAAAAAAAAATCAAAATAATGTTTCTTACTTTGTATATTGTTATACTTACATTTTGTGGAAATTCTGCTCGTTGCTTTTTAGGAGATTCATGTACCATAACCTCTTCTGTTGTAGGTGGACCACTAGCTAATCGTTGACCAACATATGCACTTCCACCTTGTCTTCTTAGTTCATAATCAAGATCCTACAACAAAAAGTAACTTTTCAATTACAATTTACACAGACTCTTAGTTTATTCATTATACATGCATATATCTTCTTAGATCGAAAGAGAGAATATCTGCTTAGATTTTTTTAACACTAATCCCTATAAATATTTCTAATTATGAACTTTCATGTACATATATTTATTTAACATACATTTTATATATCTCCTTGAAAAGAACCAAATAGTCATATAAACAAATAGTTGCGAATTCTTTCGTTTCAGCAAAGACTTACTTGGAAAGGAAAGGATTCTGTATTGTTTTCTTTTTCTTTCGTTGGTGCCGGACATTTGAAGAATTCTTCTAACACCTTTCGTGTTTCTGAAAATTCGTATAAATAGTCGAAGGTGCTACCTCCCGGCGAGACAAGACTGCTTATATTATCAGCAGGCAAAGTCGATGGCTTTAAAGAATCTTCTTCTTCCTCTTCGACCTTTGGTGACGGAGATGAAGGATTTATAGGCTGATCTTCGGTGCTAATATTTTCTATCACAGTCTTGTCTACTATAATTTCTGCAGAACTATCTTCCTTCTTGGAATGTAAGATACATTGACGAAGTATTAGAGATTGTTAAGCCATTCGATATAGTTTCATAAATGATATGTCTTTTTACCTCATTATGATTTGGTGTTGTTGGCAATACTCTTTGAGGGAAACCGGGCCTCGGTGTCATGTACATTGAAGGTGATGATAATAAGCTAGGAAGCTGTGTATTTTCACGAACTCCATAACGTCTCGGGCTGCCAGAATACTGAGCGATTGGTAATTCACCAATTACTCTTGCTACTTTATGATTACGTTCTGGAGAAGGGGAATCTGCTTCGCAATCGCTCGCTGGTGTAACAACCTACAAAAAAAAGTTAAAGAGAATTTGTAGAAAGCTCTTCGCAACGCACGTAGGATATGTTGCGCGCATTACTTTGAAAAATTCTGAAGTATTGCGATGATATGCCGTCGTGGGACTAGGAGTGCTTCCAACACTGGAACTCGGTGGTTCTGGTGCGATACGACCTCTTTGCGAATCTTCCGCCTCCAGGTCTAGATTTGTCGTCGTCGTAACTTGATTTGTATTGTTCGACGCCAAATCTAGTCGCAACCCCTGCCAATTGTCATCGATATCGTCGAACACCACAACCTCACCGTCGCTGACAATAGCCATACTTCTCGCAGGCGTGTTGTGATTCGATTGATAATCTATGCAGCTCTTTGGTAATCCATAGTCCAGATCGGTAATACTTTTTGGTACGGTATACTCTACATTATTGCTATTCAAGATTGAATCGTAATTGATTATGCGATTGCTGCGGTTGCTTTTAGGTGAGTCGTAGTCGAGAATGGATTTCGTAGCGTTACGTCGCACCGAATGTACCTCGGAGGCAAACACGGTCTCCGTCACTTCTCGATTTGCACGTTGCTTTCTAGTTTCGCCGCATCTAAAAAAAAAAAAGGTCACAATAATTTATAGAATACGCAGGAACACGTTATAGGCAATAGGTTCATTGTACAATAGACGATAAACAAATTTAATTACCGACTTCGTAGCTCCCATATGGTCTGTGAGTTCGGAGACTTATTATTCTTCTTAACAGATAACTTATTATCAGTTTGAATATCCTCGTTATTTATGGAATTTGACGCAGCCAGAAATCGCGACTTTCTAGCTGCCACCTTCCCTCGGCTCTGCGAGAATACCTCTCGGCCACCAGCGATTTCTATAATTCTGCAGGACAATACAAGAGAACTGTTACATACTCGTGACGATTTATATACGACTGCGAAACAGTCCTAAATTATACGTTGATCAATTTCATCTCGTCTTACTCAAGCTTAACGCTCGTCAGAGTTGTTGCGACGTTCACATGCATAAAATTAATACTCCGGGACGGTTCAGGATCGTTTCTGTAACTTTTGCCATCGAATTCAATGTATTTCAACATTCAAGCCGCTTTCGAAACAAATGACTCACGGAGATGTACGGAATATTCTACGCCAGTAGCTCATTTTGATAAAATCATCATCAATCTCGAATTCTTACGAATCCAGCGTCAAATCCGACGAGGACAATATTTGTACAACATACTGTATGAATGAACGACGTTATCTCCGTCACATCGTTAAATTGTGCACGTGGACGAGTGACGACTTGACGCGAGTCACCGAAACTCGACGTCAGAGATCGAGACAACACCTGACAGGCAGGCAGAGTTAACCCCAAAGTTGGCGCGTGGAGTACTTTTGCGCCGCGACTACATTTATTTAATTCGACGTGCTCGGTCGGACCGATTCCGGCCTCACGCACAATTTTATCAGTCTCGGGAGTAATACAGCCCTGTCGGCACCTGGAATGCTTTATTGAAAAATGTTCATCGTGTTCGCTGGCGCGGAGATCACGACAACGAAGCGTTCACCAACGAGGAAACGTGTGTATGTGTACGTACGAGAAAACGGGCGCGACTTTTAAGCTCCGTAACTCCCGTGGCGCCCATTTGGATGCGCTCCCGTCGCCTTGGAGCCACTTGGAGCTGCAGTGAGCTGCAGTTTAAGAGCGACTCGGTCTTATCTCGTCGACGATTTACGGACGTCGGAAAGAATCAAGGACGGACTGAGACCGACCGCGGGCCCCGAGCCACGAACTCCCTCCCGCTCAACATAAACTAATAGTAAGTTTGTAAGGATTTTTTTCGGGGTCGAGAGGAGTTTTTATCTCAATACAGTCATTTGTTGCGTTAATGAATCGCTTGTTTGGATATTTTATAAAGCTTATATCCCCTTCTTGTTTCCGATTTTAAATGGGAAAAATATTAGATTTTGTTTATCATAATTTTTAATCATGAATTTGGGGGATTTTTGAACCCCCAAACTCTCCCACTTTGCATATATAATAGGTATATACATCATGTGTTATATATTACAGTCCTTCTACGCGTTTTTAATCAAGTCCAAAGTGTCCATCACAACCAACAATTTTTACGTTCTTTTATATTTATAAGATATGGATATTTTTATCTCGAAACACAACAAGTTAAATTTAATCTATTGTACAAGCATCCGAAGAGGGCTGAATCATACAGCCGAAACATGTAATGCGCGCGTTTATTGTAATTAATCAATATATAATTAAAATGTATAGCCTTTTTTTTAAAAAAAAAAGTTGTTGCACATTAATCTTTTCACTCTTATTAGTCCTTTATTACGTTATTGTTGATTTTATATTAAAAAAGCCCTTATATTTAAAGTTATGATATTGATGTAACGTTATTGTTAAGTCACTTCTTCAATCAATATTTTACAATATGCTTCAAGAGAAAATAAATTCTTTTTTTATATGTTAATTAAAAAAATGTTTTTTAATTTGTAATATGTATATTTCAAGATTAAGAAAAAATACCCTTTGCTCAAAATAACTGTTACTTAAAAGAAAGAAAGCAAATTGTGAATAATCACTTTTCTTAGCAATACTGTTCTGTGTGCAATGGTGGATTTCTCAGAACATTTAAAATGAAGATAAGTCGAACTTTACCGCCAAGGTGCATATCGGATATTCAGTGGGATATGAGGTAAAAGTTTGGATTTAAAAATCCGTCGGATATATCAGTTAACTTCGATCGTATGTTGCGTGAAGTTTCGCCAATAATGGACAACTTCACGGGATAATTTAAAATTATCGGATATCCGCGTTCGCCGCGACCGACTATGCGCGAGCAAATACGGATCGAAATGCAGAACGACGAAAATATCGGAAAATAAAAGGTACTCGTACGTCTATCTACATACGGATTATCATTGCCGATAAGCGAGCCGCTTTTCGAGTGCCAATCGATTAGTAATGACAAACCGATACCACGCTGCAGGAGATTCCTTACAACTTGTTTCATTCATAAAAAAATATCAAAGTCTCTTTATCTAACTGCGAACACTTTTGAGATAATAAATTCGCTTTTTAGACCAAAATTCGAAAAAAAAAAATATATTAAGCGTCATTACACGGAAAGAACCATTTTGTTAAAAAATATAAAATTTTATGGGATACACAGACGTGAAAATAATTTTTTTGAATCATTAAAAGATGGTTATTTGTTGAAAACTCAAACTTGTTGCTAGAATCAAAATTTTTTGCAGTATCGCTTATTATTTTTTAGTTTTTGACATCGTTATTTTAATGGTCCAGAATTATTTTTAGATATCTATATCGAACTTTTAACAAAATTCTTTTCGTGTGAGAACGTAATGAATATAAGGCTTGATTCTTTCCTATTTGATTATTTTTCGGATACGCGAAAATGGGATCAAAATATAAAAAATTAAAAGATATAAAAAAATAAAATATTTTAAAATTCTGATGAAATGTATACAACGGGAGATCTCTCACTGCGAAAATGGTATCAAACCGTAGAAGGTATAAAATAGCGAATTGCCAATATAGCAAAAAATATTTATAAATTCCAATGAAAGTTTGCATCAAGACATTTTCAGAGCGAATAGCAAAATATAATAGAGGTTTAATTTATAAGAAAAACGTAATTAAATTTTGATGAGAACAATGAGAGCTAAAAGTTTCCAGTCTAATTTGTATCGTAAATTGCTATATTCTTTTATCATGGAAATACAAGAAATTCAAATATTTTATTCATACATATTACAAATATCGTCAGAATTTTATAGCATTCGAGTGTTTGAATAATCGCCGCGCGAAAGTAACATTGCATGCCGCGTCAAACTTTTCACGGTAATCCGAGAAATTCGAAACATTCTACGCAAGTAACTACATAGTTACACTATGTAGTATTTATCATATTTTAATATCTCTTTTTAAATTAAAGTTTAAGCAAAATCCCTTTAAAATGAGCCATGCTCAACTCTAATGATTCCGCATTTACCAGAAACGCGATTTTTTAAACGCGCTAGGGGACACGTCGCACTGAACACGAAAGGATTAAGTTGAATTCTCCGGTGAGAAACTGGGGCGACTTTGTTGCGAATCGCGAATAATCGCGGCCGGTGTATTATTGTCGACGACGAAGACGCCTGAAAGAAAAAAAAAAAGAGAGAGAGGAACACAATATTTGCCGAACGGATTACACTGTCGCGGGCATATTGACTTGTTTGCTATACATCGAATAGCCCGCGCGACACATTAACGGGTATAGGCGCGAGGAGGAAGAGCGGCTGCTGATATTTGACTGACATTTCCGCCCGAGTATATCGTCGGTATTAAGCTTGAAATTAACGCCCCGTTGAATATACATGGCGCGCTGGAATCCTCGCTGCTCTGTGGAAACCTCTGTAGAAACTGTATCGGCTATCGAAACCGGGCGCTCGTGTCCGCTGTAGATACACAAAGACCGTACGTCAAATGGACTTTCATCGTGACGACGGACACGTTACATCGCGAGTGAAACGCTCGAATTTAACGTCGCGATACGACACGTAACACACTTTTGCGTGTACACAAGTGTTCGCACACGTCGGCTTCCGCCGACCGTTATCGATTCCTCCGCACGATTTAACCGTTTAACTTGGTAATTCGAACGCCCCACAATTAACTTTAATTTCTATTTCAACTCGTTTCGTTTTTCAATATTGAAACCGTATAACCTTCAGTGCACTTTTTATCACTATTCGCGTTTCATTTTCGTCATCTAAATTTTTTTAAAACGTTAAACGGAATATATATAGGCTGATAAAGTTCTCGATGATATACGTAAGTTTACTAATTGTGAATAATGTAATCTAAGTCACGAATTTTGGTTTCGAATAATTGTATCTTTCGTATATTAAAAAATGTTCCTCAGCAATATGTTTACCTAAGTATATATGCAGTACACAATCTTAAAATATATATTGTATTACAGGCGATTCTGATTACACAAATTTTTCTTTATGACTCATATCATAATTATCTTAAATTCTTCGAATTTATTGAAGGCTAAAGAAAAATTTGTGTAATCAAAATTACACAGACGGGAACTATCTTGTTGTGATAACGATGTTTGTCCAGGTGGAGACGCTTCAAAGATTTCAAGAGAATCTTCGTTTTTTTTTTTTTTTTTTAATAAAATTATATGATTTTTTTAAAAATAATATGATACCTCTAAATCAGTGCTCGCAAAGATCTGCACATTTCGAGCCGATTTCGGCAAACACCACCTCCGTTTCCTCCACTACCGCTCGAGGCTCGGTGCCAATCGCGCGCGCGACGCTATGGCTCAAGAGTGTCCCTACATTAGAGTTATAGGTACTAGGAGCATACCGTCTCCGCCAAATCATTATTGAAATATGTTTTTTTATTAAATAATTTATTTTTATTATATAATATTAAACTCTATTGCTAATTTATTCATCATATTGGAAAAATTAAAACATCCTGTATAGAGATTGAAAAAGGTATAAGGTAAATGTACCAGTTCGTAGATACGACCCAATTGTTGGACAAATTGTGACAATTTTAAATATTAAGCTTTTGATGATATGTGTTACTCTAAATAAATTTTTAAGCAATTTTTCATATTATTTAGAAATTAAGTATTATATAATTTATTCATATTAAAAATGATACTTTTGTAAAAAAAATTTCGTTTATGGACAATCGTCCATTTATTAGGACATTCACACATATGCGTGTATCAATTATTGGACATTCCTTAGCGTACCTGTCTACTGCAAACATATTTTGTATATATTACATATAAAACTTTATATAAAACTTCACTAATTACAATTTCGATAAACTTTTTTGAACAATCTTGATTGATAAGTAAGTAAAATGCGATTCTCTTCTATAATAAGAAAATTGCTTGTTATCCAATAATTGAGTCATACTTTTGTGGACACAGAGACATGTCACATTTTTTGTCCAATAATTAGGACATTTGAATCATATTATATTTATGACTAAATACAATTTATAATAAACGCAAATAACATATTTGATGATGGATTTAGTTTAAGAAAACATCCATTCTTACTAAGCATGTGTAATAAACTAAAATTTTAATGTTTCTAAAGTTTAAATAAATGATTTCGTCGTGCAATTCCTTAACTGTCCAATAACCGATACATTTACCATAGATACTAAATTAATTCAATTCTTCCATATTTCGTTTAGCCAATTTTTTAAACCCCATTAACTATAAATACACAAAAGAGAAGATATTTAGTGTTCGCTAGAAATGTGTGTTCTCATCTTTCCTCTATATTTTGGAAGAATAATCGTAAACATTTTACGATTACGTAAATATTTTCATGTGTATACTCCAAAGTGCATCGATTAAAATAACGGCAATTCGCTATATTCGTCTATGTATGGCAAACATGCAGCTAAAGTACAACCTTTCCGCTGATAATAAATATTCCCGAACCGTAGCTTATTTTTAGAGTTAATTACGTTTCTATAGAGAACGTTAAGCGATTCTTGATTACCTCGAATCCCGAAGCTTGTAGCTGGGGCCTCCCTTGGCCGAGGTCAAAATGTACACAGGACTTCCCTCGGGTCCGCTGTCGTCTTGCTGCGATTGTCCCTGATGATCACTACCCGGCAGGCTACCGTATTGTGGCGCGTCCTCGCTGCGTCCGGACGCCGAGGAGGAGCTCGACGAAAGCGGCTTCGTGGCGTGCGGCAGCTGGCCCTCGACCGTGAAACCGGGCACCACGCTCGCCGTCCTACGGGACAGCGAACCTGATTTTTTTCTCCCATTCGCTCGTTTCCTATACCTACGAACGTAACTTGGCACAATCGGAAATCGGTTAAGGGAGTACAATTAAAAAAAAAAAAGAAGTTGAAGAAGAAACGTTCCCGATAACGCACGTTTATCGTTAATTGAGGAGTTCGATGGAACTGTATCTAAGCGACAAAAATTTCAAGTTACATTTATAAGATTATATTAAATAGTTCATGGGAGACTCTCGAAGATGTGCGACGTATCTTCGTCCATAAATCTAATTATGTTTTACACTCCTCTCGCGATGTAGCTTTTCATCTTCATTCTGCACGTCTGCGCTCCATCTGACTCCTCAATTACATAATTAACCATCCTATAATTTTGCATGAAACATTAAGTGGAACAATTGCATAATAAAAACGTGTGCAGAAGTAAAATCTTTCATATCTCATTAATATTCTGCTCGTTACGAGCTCATTAAAAAGTGATACGATTACCGTTAAAAGCTACGATTATTGTTAAATTTACTGTTAAAAAGTGCAATTGCATGTATATATAACATTATTCCGCACGCATTTAGTATATACTTTATGTATAAATTTTCTGCTCTGCTCTGCTATATGTAAAATGAATCTTTAAATTATCCGCTCCAATTTCAGATACGCACTGCATATTAGATCGTCTCAGTCTACTAAAACGTTCGATTCAAATCCATCAGCTTTTTCTCCGGTTAGCTTCTACTTCCGGAGTTACTCCGATCGTAACCCCGCCTCGCCTTCTCTTACCTCCTCCCCCCTCCCCTCACTTCGGTAAATCGGTTTAACTTGCCTGTCGGAGGTGTCACGCTCGAGGTCGATCATGTCGTCCGATATCGCGGAGGCGCTCGTCGACGTGTTCGTAGAGGCGATGGTGACAGCGGCTGTTGCGGCGGTCGCGGCGGTGACGGTGGTGGCGATAGCGACGGCCTCCGTCTGGCAGGGGCTGTCATGCGGCTGCTGGCTGCTCTGCGTGGAGGCCCCCGGGGCCGGGGGTGGGCCGCCCCTAGGCCGGCATTTCGGAAAGAGTCGATTCAAGTCGGCGTTCTCCAAGATCAGGCTTGTCATCGCCACGGCGCGTTCATGTCTCGCAGCAGGATGTCCATTCTGCGGGCACAGAGAGGATTTCGCGGTGTTAAATGCAGCGTGGATGAGACGTGACGTCTGTTCATGCGTTCCCGCATTTTGAGATAGGCATATATATACTGAACGTGGCGGCATCTCCTCGTGTGATCTCTCCTTGTATTCTTCAACGTCTCACGAATGTCTCTATCTATATATATATATACTTAATACACATGTGTCGTGTAAAGTGTCCAATAATGTACCTACGCGTGTTTTCCTTCTCCGAGATCGAAATGATATTTCTCTTAAAATAAGATTCGAAAGATAATGATATATATTTAATATACGCTCTAAAAAGTATTAATAAAACATATACACTGTAAAAAATAAAATGTTAATTTTAACTCAAAGACGTTGAGTGGATTTTCTGAGACATGCAAAAATGTTAAAATTAACATTTTTGCATGTCTCAGAAAATCCACTCAACGTCTTTGAGTTAAAATTAACATTTTATTTTTTTACAGTGTATGAGCTATTTTTATTGATATTTAAAATTCTCTCTTGTAAAAATTTTACATAAAAACTTTTCCGATTTCTAGAAATAATAAAAGGTGTTTGTATTTTTTTAAAAAACTATCTATTATAATATTATACCTCGTGAATTTTAGGGAAACCTTCGCACGAAATTCCGAGTGAAGCGTTATCTTCAAGTGAGTAAATCATATTTTTATTTATGTAACTCTCACCATGTTGGTGTTTATATCAACACCAACACGTATGGTGAGGATTACTACCGCGTGTGTTGGTGTTAAATCCACATCCATATTTTTTTAGATCGTGATGATTCGCGCTGTTAGTTTTTAAGTTCCCTGCAGAGAAAGATCACTTTCATAGTTATCTAAACGGGTCATCGTCAAAATGTGTGTACCATTGCAGTTTCGAGCAGCTCTGTATACGAATGAAAAATCTCTTCCCTTTGCTCTAACGAGGTCGTACTCGTGCGAGAACAACGCGCCACTCAACCCGCGCCGCCACTCGTGTGCGCGACACCGAAAGTGTTATACTTCATACAGAGCCGCGGTGTTCAAAGGGGATTGGAGCACCGCGTGCGGAAGGGTTGGGTCAGTGGTGTATACGGGGTGAAGCACAGAGATAGTAATATATTCGAACGAGTAGCCGATTGGCTTCTCGCATGCTCAAAATTATCGGAAATAGATTATCCAAAAGAGATTATTGCAGATACATCGTCTCATTTATCTCAACATTATTTTTAAACCGTTAAAACTTATATATTGAATTTAAATTATGCTGGAGTTTCGGAAAGATATTAATATGCTTCCAATATCGAGTACGAGCAATTTTCATCGATACACAAACGTTATTGTTTTAATCCTTTCCTAGAAAACCTTAAAGGCACGGTCAATTTTTTAATTATAAATTCTTTGGTAAATGAATTTAAATCTACAAAAATAAATAAAATACAATCTGAGATCTTTTAGTTTTATTACTGTGAAAGCTTTTTTTATACAAATATGTAAAATTATTTCCTGGTTTTTATACAATTTTAAACGAGATATAAAGTCTGCACTAAAGTTCAAAGACCTTATGGTTGCGGATGCGATGGGTGGAAATCTCACATTGTCGACGCGACGTAGGATTCATATTATTACAAAGTTGTGAGAATTTTATAAACGAACGATTTTTCCAGTTTTTTTCAGAAATAATAAAAAGCACTCGTTTAACAAAAAAATCTATTGCAAAATCACTCACGAGTTTTAGGGAATTTTTGCATGAAATTCCGAGAGCGGTGATATTTAAAGAAGGTGAGTCATCCGTAATTACACGACAATAATTATCTGTCGCAAATTTCTTTCACTTCACAATAGGCTCGAGCGTACGTGTACTTCGCCGGGGACAAGTACCGGAAGTTTCCTTTCTTTGCGGAGAAATTTGCGAGCACAAACAGTTATTCCAAAACTCGAGTTATTACAGCTCGAGCAGCGCCCGTTATGCGCAGCCGACCAACCCCGTCGCGAACTTTCCGCGCCGAATTTATTGTTATGCAGTAACTCCGATGCGAGCAAAGTCTCGTCGGGTTCAACGTGCCTTACCCAAGATGAACTTTACGCTTTTAATTAACAACACTTTTCCCACGCGGAACTTATGAAAATTCCGCAGTCGATGTCCCGGGTTCTCAACCGTGTTAATACTTATACTGGTGACGCTGTTATACACAATTCAATCTAGAAACACTACATGTACATATAAGAATCTGCCCTCTCCCCTATGTTGTACTATTTTCGATTGGCTCGATGGAAAATGGCGAATGATAACTGATCACGTGGTGATCAATCAGCTGAACTTAGCACGTGGAACAATGAAAAATAAATATGAGAAACGCGTTATACAGTTGTGTGAGTGTATGCACATACATTGCACGTACGCCATTTTCTATTAAATTGGAATATTGGTCAGACTCTTTTTCTAGGAGTTCTAGTTCAACCTACTTTGAAAAATACAAACGAAACGTTATACGCATGGAAATGTAAGGTAACCGCGAATTTAGTTTGAGAAACAAATGGCAAATAAGGAACAGAGTATTTCTAGAGTAAGTAACTTTCGATGCAATTGCATTTGTAAATGAATATTATGAGCAGGGAGATTATTTGTCGTATTTACTTACACTCTCTATATGTCTACCGGAAAATGGGGGCAAAACACTTGGAAAGAATTGAATCAAGTCTAGTTCTCGAGCGTGTTACGATAGGACGTTCCGATCTTTTTTTTTTTTTTTTTTTTTTCGAGAACATCCTGATTCATCATACTGAAGAAGGGTGGAGATACCGTACGTGTGCGTGAGTCATCATACGCAGCGTTCAATTGGCGTGAGTTCAGCGTGAGTCAGCGCTGAATTGCGGAGCGACGTAAAGGAGCGAGCAGACACCGTATATTCGCTAATTTATATTATATACTCCGCGTTATATATCGGCTTCATTTACGGAAGCACGTAGCTGCGCGAGGAACGGCGCCGTTTTGAGGGAACGCCGGACAGACACGGGGCATTATTAGTTTCGCATAGCTGAACTCGATTTATCCTTTCGCGTCCGCCGCGGCTTGGCATCCGACAGGTAACGTATTCCCGTTGGTCGTTTCACGTGGCATTTTCTAAACGAGAAACTGTGGATCCGCGTTCAGTTACATATACCCAGTTTCTCCGTTCCTCATTTGAGCATTTTCCCCATTGAAAGCACGAGAGAGGCGGAAGGCGAAGAAAAAGTTTACGTAATAATACAAACAGTATACCCCGCGTGACTGTTGAAAAAAAAAAAAAAAAAGCATATGATTTGTTCTGTAAACGACTGCATAACTTTGCGCAATACGACGTGTAACGCGCAAAAGTGCGTACGCGATACAAAAGTGGAATTTGCCAGGCGACATTTGTGTCCTGTGTGTTCCGCCGCCTCATTTTTCGTAATTCGGTGGACAGAATCGGCTGCTCTGTCCCGAACGCCGCTGAAACAGCTGGAATTACGGAACGTACGTTGGCCCAAATAGCGTATAATTCGTGCCATAGAATGTAGACTTTATGCACGTAGAACTTAAGAACGAACATTCCGTTCGTCGACGGTGATAAAAGTATATGCTTTCGCTTACTTGCGGAAACGGGATGAACGAACCGACGACGTTACCGCAGTCTCTCCTCACTCGCTATGTAACAATGGGACCTCTATGAATCTTCCATCATATATGACGGGACATGTGATCACCTGCTGGAATGGAGGAAGATTGCACCGGCGAAGCTAATTTTACCCGAAGAGAAATGTACCGTAATTCTCGCGGTGTGTTCCCGCGTGAAACACAGATGTCTGATCATCACCTCCCATTAGTATCGCACTTAATCACGAGTCCGCAGAATTGTTGTACTACTTGCCATAAAAGAGTTTCAGCTTTTATATATCACTTTTTATATATACGTATCATATACTTTTATAAATTCTATAAAATACAAGTTTGAGCGACTGTTCGTTGAAGAATTATAAAATTGGTACCATAACAGTCTAATAAAGTAAAACTATGTGGTCGAGTAGAAATTTATGGACCGGGTGGCTACCGTAATAAAGATCGAAAAGCGGTACTGCTTCCTTGAAAATATGGGAATGCGCTCTATAAACGATTTCATTCCTCCATTTTCAACGTAGTCTACCAGCCATTAATCTATACGATCTACAGTTTAACGCAGGTTCAGAAGCGACTGGGGGAGGACAATGGCATATGTATAGACCGGTTGTCCCAGTAACTCTTCGTCGTGCGATTTCCAGTGAAACTACCGCGGCTACTATCGACTCGCTCTTGTTTTCGAACTCTATCACGGGCGCCTCCTATTGGACACAAACAAATTTCTCGTAGCTCTTAAAGAGCTTAAAGGGGTCTGCTCGGAACAGCAAAAATGAGTAGTTGAGCTGTTTCTCCACGGAAACAGCTGAGACAAAAAGCATGAAATATATCGCTCGCGAGTCCCACATATAAAACTAACGATATACTTATTTAGAAAAAAAAATTGTGGAAATTATGATTGATCGAATCTTTTTTGACCTGTGCTCAATTCTTATACGATCCGAAAAGCTTAATGTAGCCTAAACCTAATATCGAAACTCTAACTAGACACGTATTTAAAAAAATATAAAAATATATATAACAGACGTTTAATTTTCATTAATGTCAAGCAGACTTTAACAGAGTGTTAAGTTAGTTTGACGGCCAAGATATCTAATATTAAATGATAAATCGTGAAAGAAGGTGTCCGGTCAAAGAATACGCTTTAAGCCAATTATTTACTTCAAAGGTTGCTGCAAAATACGGCTACTCGATAAAAGAAAATTAATGGCTTTCAAGGAACAATAGACACGCAAGAAGTCTGATTGAAAGTCTCAAAAGGAAAGGCCGCGTATATATTTTTCTACGGACTTTTTCAAGCCAGTCTCCTGGCTCACCAGGAGCTTCAA